CTATGCCGAACACAAGGATTGCGTGAAGGGCACTATACAAATGAAAGTTGTTGTTGTAATGAATTATTATTCTTTCCACTATAATGGATTCTTACTGTACAGTTCTTTCTACATCGCAACGCTATGACATGCCAATACTCCTGTTGAAAATTGAAGATGAATTTTTCAGTGATTCAATGAGTTGTTATATCAAATGCAAGGATTATTATTTTTATTTTTATTTTATTTATTTATTTTTAGTAGTAGTTAGGACCATAATACTGTATTCCAAAATAAATAGTTGTCTCCCTGACTGCTTCTCCATAAAGCATTCCTGTTGGTAGCTACAACAATATCACCGCAGGCCAACTCACAGGCACGACTTGCTGTGTCATCGTATCATTTACTAATGCTGGCAATAGCCATATTTTCATCTCGATATTAAGCAAATGTGCTTGTTGAGAAAGCAAGAGTGTTGGCAAAGGTCTGAGCAAAACTGGCAACAATCGGTAGGGGGAAAAAAAATAACCCTGCGATAATGCTTGTTTTTTTTTAAAAGGTGCGGCTGGCTCTGGTATAACCTGTTTTGATTCAATGGAGGTGATTGGTAATATTGTTGTGGTGACTGCTCGCTAACTTCGGGCTGTGTTCGCAAACAGTCGGGTTGTGGATTCTTCCCTTTCTGACTGGATTTGATTTGGAGTTTCCTAGATGACACATCTTGTGGTGTCTTTTGGCAAGCAGTCAGGTAGCAAGCAGTTGGTTGGCTGACTCATGTGTTTAATGGATGTGCTGCTCATTATATACTTAAAACACACTGGAGTTGATTAAGCAATCTGGTCCACTGCCAGTTCATGGTGAGGCTTCCAGTCTGTTGTTGAGCTGGGTCAAAAATCTAAAATGCAGCAGTCGTAACAGAATTTTTTGGCTTGCGAAACCATTTTGGCACCCACCTTAAGATGGTGTTGAATGGTGGAAAATTCCTTAATTCCGTCTTAATTTGGGAAGCAATTCTTTCTGAGATCTGCTGAAAACCAGCTCCCAAATTAAGCATGAATTGATGAATTTTCTTTCCATAGATCTGTGTGATTTTAAATGTCAAGCCAAAGCAGTCTTACAATCTAAGACAAGGTGGGATTTGAGGCCTCTGCATTCACAAACGATGTGCTCATATTGAGTCTTGCCATTAACCTGACGTGCATAACACAACCCGTTGGAACTCTGCAAAATCTCCTTCAAGGCTCATCAGACCAAAAATCCTCAATCCTGTGTTGCGGTGCAGTTTTGTGTTTTATCATAAAGGCTCCATCCTAAAATTATTTGGCTTTGCCAACTGCTAATGTTAATTGTTGCCCACAAAATGCACAATCAATTCACTTCACAGTATATTCTGTGAAGCGCTTTGAGACGTCTCAAAGACGTGATAAGGCGCTATATAAAATGCAAAGATTATTATTGTTATAATTGAATAATAATAAGGATTCACTGAATTTCATGCCTTTACGTTGCAACAATTCATTTTGGGTTACAGAGACAAGCCTTCCATACAGAGATTTTAATAACATGACCTTACAAGACATAAGGTGCAGTGATGTGAATGTGGAATAGTTATTTTACTGTATACAGAAAAGTACTTTGTTTCCTTTTATGAATAACAGGAGACGAGGAATAATTCTGGGCACTAAAATATGGTCATGGTGGGGACATTCAGGGAAATTATTCCTCGCGATTCGTTTAATATTTGCTCAGAAAATATTAAAGGATTCGAGAAATAAGTATATTTTTCCTTACAATGTATATAACTTTCGATTTCACCAAACCAGATGGGAGTAACTAGCGAGAATGCCCTAATACAGTCCTCACCAATAGATTGCTGCAAGCGTAAGATTTGCTTTCACATTTTCCTTTATTCCTTAATAACTATCCTCTGCCTCTGTAGTCAAGCTTGTCAACTTGGAGCCAGTTCAGCTCAGCTCCCGGTACACCCCACTTACCATCAATAATAATAATAATAACAGTAAAATAGTAATCCTTACAGTTGATACAGCGCCTTATCACGCCTTCAAGTCGACTCAAAGCGCTTCACAGAATAAACTATAAAGTGAACTGACTGTATATTTTGTGGGCGAAACGCGGCAGCCGATGAGCACAGCAGCGTCCCCACAAACAGTTGTGGATTGAAGTGACCAAATTATTATTATTATTATGTTTTTATTTTTTTCCCCCGCGAGGCCATCCACCCAGCAAGCTCTGGATCCTTCATCTGCATCTCTCGCTCCCCTACACCGGGGGGTCTCGAACCAGTCGATTGCCACCAGGTGACATGTGGCTCGTGATCAAAAAGGACAAGAGGAGGGAGTGATAGAACTCCGTCCTTATTGAATCCAATTGAAAACAAAGCCGGATGCGCAGAGTATTCTTTTTTTTCGCGTCTGGAAATAAAACTATCAATTCAAAACCGTCAAAACTGCGGTAAATATCAGTGCTGCCTCTTGTTTTTCTCGAGCGTGCGCAAGACTCCACCTAGCAGCGATCGGAGACACATTGGAGACACAATTGTCGCTGCCGCTGGGTTATGGGTTCAATCCTCACACTGGGGACTTTGAACTCACAGTCTAGGCTGATGCTGAATTACGGTGCTCGTGGTGAGCTGCATTGGAGGGGGTCGTGCTTTGGACGAGATGTTAAGTCTGGCATTTCAGGTGGACAGTAAAACAGCCCATGGCTTGAAAAGCGAAGAGTTTCTCCCGGTGTCCTGGCCAGCAATCCCCCAAATAAAATTGGTCATTTGCTTTACGGCTGTTATGGGACGTTGCTGTGTCCAAAGATACACAATAAAATCTTGTGAAGTGCTTTGAAACGACACATGACCGTAGCAGGACTGATCTAATGTGCGTATGCCCTCTGATAACACAAGCTGATCATGACCCCGGCGAACAGCGACCGTGTTTTACTGAGGCGTGTACAATACTACTTACACACCCCTAATTCTTTCCAAAGACGTATTGTACTGCAGTCTGCACAGGAAAACTGAGACGCGTTTTACTTGCAGCCACTTCTATCACTGGGACCCAATTTACAACTGGTTGAGCATAATTGTATGGTACAAAGCCTTCAGAGTGTTCCATACTCACAGGCCTTTCAGCACTAAGAGTGTCTCTGCAGGCTTGCTTCTTTTTCCTCTGTGGATTCGCAGTTTTTGTTCTTCAAAGACTGAACAAAAAAGATTACTCTGTTGGCCACACACTGTGATGGATGATGAAATCCTGCAGTAGACTCGGCACACAACACACCTGAAAAACTTCTATCCGGCTCGAGTTTATAAGTTGAAAAGTTTTTTTGATCTACAGTGATTTCTCTTTGAAGATGATCACCAGTAAAAATTAAAATACAATGGGGGAGGATTATGCATCTTATGCACATATACATTCATATGTCTTCTAGGCAACAGGGAAGGCAATTCACACCTTCTTCCTAATGAAAACGTATTTTTTTTAGCACTCACTCTCCCTCTACCATTGGATTATGTTTATTCCCATGCTATTTTTACATTTGTGGAGTCCTGTTTTTTATTGGTTAGAGAACTCGCCTTGCAAACAAGAGGACTCGGGTTCGATTCCCGGGAAGGGCGAAATGTTAGGCAAGTTTCCTTAGTCCACACGGTTGTTAGTCGTTTGGCGGATGGCCAAATCAAACCAAATCAAATGGCCAAATGGCCTATATCCAATGTAAGGATTATTATCATTTACTAATTTTTAAAAGTGCAACGTTTGGACATGTGGACTTCTAGTTTGTGAGATTTCTGAAAGAAGATGCAAGCGACAAGAACTTACATTTATATATTTCTCTTCACCTGGTGTAGTGTCTCAGAGCTCTTGAACAAACAGTGAATGTTTTTCTTGCCGGTTGTTGTTGCTATCTCTCTGGTGTGCCTAGATGTCTGTGGTCTCTCTATACTTCAGTCTCACTACTTCATCTTGGTGGTTATCTTTAGGTTATAAACTTTCTTCCAACTATTTTTGCTAGGTCTTCTGAATTATGAGGACCACGGAGTCAATATCGTGCATTGCTATATTCCCTCCTCCACCAAAATTGCGCGAGTGTCAATCCCTGAAGTCGTCACAAGGATTTTCAGTGACATTTCTGAAAATTTTCCTCTACCATCTTCACATTCCAATCAATATATTGCCCACAGTTCCACACAAACTTTATCTGTATATGTTCTAGGGATCTCCACCGGTTTAGCTGCTTCAGACATTAAGAAATAACTTGATGCTGTGATGTGAAGATGGTGGAGTGCGTATATTGGAAGGATGAGATCAAATGGACTGAAGGGCATTCATTATTTTATATTCCCGATCTTGTGAGAAATGCTCAATATTGCTCCTGTGCGGTCATTAACTGCTGCTTTTTGTTTTGTTAATGCAGAAATAATCTGTTTGTTTTCCAATTGATATTTAAGTCATACAGGGCTCTCACCTATTTTTCTTAACGTGTCATTAACATTGTCGATAAACATACTCTCCTCTGTTATTCTTGAGAAGGAGAATGTTGGGATTAAGGTCACCCAAGCAATAAACATCAAAGGCCTATTTATGTATCAACTTCTGCTCACTCATCCAAACATTTGCTATATTTTCACTTGATTTAGAAGTTAAATCATTTCTAGTTGTTACATGAAATATCCAATGGTGTAAAAACAAATAACAAGGTAACTGCAGTAGGGCTGCAAAATTTGCCTACAAATACACAAAATTTACTTGACACTAAATTCTGTGAAGCTCTTTGAGATGTCCTCCTGATGTGAAAGGCACTAGAACTAATGGAAAGATTACGATCAGCAGTGTGCCTGCAGTCCATCCTTTCCAGTTTATTTGAAAAAAAAGACACGCCAGAACTGTCTTCGTAAACGTTAACCACAGCGCTCAACGCAGTGCGAAAGTCACGGGTGTGGCAAACTACAGTGACTGTGGCGTTGAAGTCATTAACTGCGTGTGTCACTGTTTTCCATCCCCCTGCAGGAATCTTGCTCTTCACAAGAGGCTTCATCAATTATGCCAAGGTACGGAGAAGATGGCTGCCAAGATCGCCACCTTGAAACGATCCAGGTTCCGTTTTATTTACTGACGGTAATACATCTTTTCCATCCAGTTTGTTGCTAAACTTTATGGGAAGATTGACGCTCCTGTGTGCTCTGCGTGTTACAGCTTTCTCTTGGAAACAGCGTGATCAGAAGTTATGGGACCGTGTGCGTGCGCGGGGGTGTGGAGTGAGGCCGAGTGATTAATTTTAAGAAGCTTTCAGATTTACGAGGCTCAATCGGCTGGAGAAATGCCTCAAGTGTATTTCCCCGGCCTGTGGAGCAATATAACACTCTGTCACTCATTGGTCCAAATGCTGCGGCAACGAATTAACCTTTGTACCTTGAATGCACTCAATGATGATGCAACACAGGGACATCCTTTGTTTTTTGCTAATAGTAACCTTCCATTGATGACAACTGTTTGTCACTGCCCTACTCCACTGTGCTGAATATTTTGCGGTGACATTTAATTTTTTGACGATTTTGTAGACGTACTGGTTTGTGAGCGCTATTGATATGAGAGCTGCCCGTTTGCCCCTTCTGCTCGGCTAACTCGGGCTTCTGCATGTCTCCCATCCCCTCCGGTCACCATCAGTGGCCAAAACTTCAGGTTCGATGCCTCCTAACCTCTGGAACTCTCGACATCTCATCTCTCTCCTATCTCTCTTTAGGTCCAATCTTATAGCCTACCTCTTCAACCATGCCTATGATCACTGCCCCCTCCCCCTACTCTCCCCTCTTCCCCATTTGCTGTCCGACCCCATCTTTTGAAAGTATCCAGACACCTTATCCTCCGTGATGGATGCTATACAAAAGCAAGTTGGTTTTGTTGTTGTTGTTGACACAGAATAACTTCCAAGATTAAACTGTGAATGATTTCCTATTCCAACAACATTAATATAGGCATCAACGTTCCAGGGTCACCTTGACTCAGTTAGTAGTGCTCTCACCTCTGAAACAATATAGGATCTTCCACCACATCCCACACACTCACACTCAGTAGGAAATATATTGTAACATTAAAGAGAGAGAACAGTGTAGGTTTACAAGGATGTTATCAGGGATGAGTGCATGTTGATATCAAAAAAGATTGGACATAGTTCTCTCCAGAGGTATGACAATTCAGAAGAGACCTGATAGAGATGCTTAAGATTACAAAAGGATTTGATAAGGTGTCTGTTGATGGATTGTTTCCATTTGCTCACTTGAGTCCAAAACAAGAGGACATAAATATCAGATAGCTGCTGGTAGATCTAATAGGGAGTTTAGGAGACATGTATTTCACAGAAAACTTGATGGAGACATGAGAGAGAATAAAGTAGGGTCATATTATAATAATCCTTGCATTTGATATGGAACTTCATGTCTTCGAGACGTCTCAAAAGGCTTCACAGAATACACTGTAAAGTGAATTGACTGTATATTTTTTGGGCAAAATGCGGCAGCATTTTATAGCGTCTTACCACACTGTTGAAACAACTCAAAATGCTTCACAGCATGCTTATGTGGAGCATAAACATTGCCATGGACTAGTTGGGCCAAGTGGCCATTTCCAATGCCTTACCACTCTATGTAATTCTTTTTAACTCCATTCCCGGGGTGCGCTGCATTGTCAGAATTACTCTTCCTTCAAATGAGACTATAACCAAGGCCCTGTCTGCCTGTTCAGTGGAGCGTTAAATGATCCATGATATTATTGGAAATGAGTGGACATTTTCCTTGCGTCTGTATTTCTGCAAGTTGCTCGCAGGAACTGAGTGCTTCCCTTTCGCTAGCCTCAGGAAGACTTTAAATTATTGCTGTTCTGTCAGGTCTCGCACACTCTGGATATTTACACTTTACATTCTAATGAATATCTTAGTTCGAAGACTTGGCCTGTGACAGCTGTTTTTTAAAAGCATGAATTATAAAATGTAGTAATTGCCACTCTCCTGCTCTGGTATTGTTCCCCACTGCAAACGTATACAGAGCTGTAATAATTAAGATTGCTCTCTTGTTCACTTGCTCCACCCATAAAAGAATGGAATAGTTTTTTATCCAATATTTTCGTACATGCTTCATCAGCAAAGAAGCTTCAAATCTGTAGAAAACACCTTTTTTTTGTAATGCTATCATTTACCATATTGAATAGAAAGAAAGGGAAGGGGGGATTGAAATATATTCAGCCAAAGTACATGCTGAAGATTAACAACAACAACTTGCATTTATATAGCATCCTTCATGCAAGTTAGTGTCTCGGAGTACTTAAGCAGTCTTGGCCTTTGTTCAGCGAGCTGCGGACTTCTGCAAGTCTCTCTTCCCCTCCACTCTACCATTGGTAGCTGTGCTTTCAGCCACTAAGCCCCAAATCTCTGGAAATCCCTTCCTCTCAATCCTCTGTCTTGTCCTCTCTTTGCCAGTTTTCAAATCACACTTGAAGGCTTTCCTCTTTGGCCGTGCCTCCAGTCGCCCCCCACTCCCCCCCCCACTCTCTTTTCAACTCAGCGTCAACCACACCACTGTTAAAGCTCGAAGACACTACCTACATGAAGGTTGCTATATAAATGCAAATTGCTGTTGTAGTAGCAGTGTCTGCGTGTGTTTTGTGGAAGAACACAATAGTCAATATTTGCGCTGCAATGTCCCACAAACAACCACAAAGCAAATGATCAATTTTATTTCCAGTGAGGGAAGTGAGGAGTGATCCATGAACCAGAGTTTGAAGACCAGAAGGTATTGCCTGGAATGTTTTTATGTTCAGAAACTTGGTGATGCACAGCTGGTTATTATCTACAAATGGCCTTAACTCACTCCCATTGCTCCTAAATCCCTTATTCATATGTCAGTTATCTCACAAATAGATTTTTCCAATGTGTTCCTTGCCAAACACCATGGAGTCATTCTCAGGAGCTTTAACTGATCTGAGTTTTTTGGACAGACGATCTACATCTGTTATCATTCTCCTTGCCAACTCCATTGGTTCCCAGTACCTTAAAGGATTGGTTTTAAGATCTTATAAGTTGTGGTAGTTAGTTACTGGCTGGAGTCACTATTTATAACTTCCTGTTAAAAATATCATCTTTTAGATCTTCCCCACGATGCATTTCCACACGATTTACATCACTGACGTATGTTACTCATCAAAATTGGTTTGATTTGGCTGAAAATATGAGAAAGTAAGCCCTTATCTTCTCTTTAAAACATATACTGCATAGACTGGTGATCCCAGATTGGAGTGTGTAGGTAGTGGCCCTGCCTCGATGGTCTTTAGCTGGTAACAGTTGCCTGGTGGACATTGTTTTTGACCAGACTGGTGACCCTGGACTGTTGCCCTTGGGCTGGTGACCCTCAAATGGTGACTCCTAGAGTGGTGATTTCCAGAGTGGTCACTGTAACGAGTTGTCCTCAGTCTGTGTCCAGTTTATGGCTAACTCAGGCTTCCTGCATGTTTGCTGCCTTACCCGTCCCCGACCATTGGTGGCCGAGCATTCCAATTCTATGCTCCTAATGTCTGGAACTCCCTCCCCTGACCCCTTCACCTTGCCCCCTTACTATCTATTCCAAATGGCCCCATACAAACCTCTTTGACCATGCCTGTGGTCACCTCCTTCCACCCCTTTCCCATCATCCCTCTATCTGCTTCGTGAGTGTGAAGGCCTCTGAGATGTTATTGGATGTGAAGAGCGTAATATAAATACATGTTACTGTTATTGTTAGTGTTGACTCTGCCTGTCAGCCAATGCCACCTAGGATGTGTGCCAACAAGCATGTGGGAGGAACTGGGGATTAATTTTTCAGAAGTGCAGTGGTAGGCGCTTTGCATTCACTTGACAGATAGCCCTCTATATGACGTGTACTTAATATTTAGGATCCTCGCGCAGCATAAACTTTGCGGAAGCTGATCTTCTACAATGAATCATCAGGTCACCATCATTTACTGTGGACTGTATGTTCATTGGATTGGAATCTCTTTTTGGTTAGTGTAAGAATTAGAGCTACCAATTTCAATGGCACTATAAGAGTTATATAATTATAGAAATTACAGCATAGAAAGAGGCATTTGAGCCTACTGAGATCTACTGATACTAGCTCTTCCACTGAACCTATTCACTTTAATCCCCGTTCGCTGCTGTTTTCCCAAAGTCTTTAATCTTTGTTCCTTTTCAGATATTTATTCAACTCTCTTTTTTAAACAGAGTCTTGGGTCATTTAGAGAGAGAGGAATTCCTCTTGCGTACAAATTTAGCAACTTTGAGGACGTGCAATTATCAAAATTAGGAGGCCACAAAGTCAAAGTCACTACACGTAGCAGCAAGAGGAATTCTGCCACTTGGAATCCTGTGGGAGCAGCGAATATACTGTATTTTTAAATCTAGAGCAATGCAGAGAAACCACCAAAGGTCACCCATATGTGACCCAGTTATTATATGGATCAAGAATCTAGTAAAAAGTTCAAAGGCAGACACATATGGTTGAAATCAAATATCCAAAGGCTATTCTTCTGTAAATCAGAGGTTACGTTGTTCCAATTATGGTCATTTAAACAAGGAAAAACAAAGATCGATGTCCCTACAAGCCAGTAGTCGCAACTATTTAAGAAATGAATGAGACAGTCAAGAACTGAAAAAAAATATTCCCAGAAGTCTGGCTGGAATTACATGGATTTCCAGTACATTTTAGCTTGCTTATTTCTTGCCAAAAAAAATCTTTGTCCGTCAATAGACTTATTAAACAGTAATCGGTTTAACAATATAACGTAACTAAGTACATCTGTTCCTGTTTTGTATGGGTTGAGTTTATTTCCACGTCCCGAGACAAGTGCCTCGGAACAAATACTGCCCTTAGAATTAATTTATTGTTTTTCGGGGCAGTCCACCTGCCCATTTAGCACAAGGCAACACCGGTTGTCCTTTAGAATTGAGGGATAAAATTTCCACGCTGCTGACATTAACCTGCAGTTACATGTAACAGTAATGAAAGCAACACCAGCATTCATTCTTCTCTCTGCTGCCAAGTGGTTGGGGCTTGCCAAAGGGAGCAATCACTCCACACTCAACCTCCGATGCTCCATGTTTGTGTGGCAAAAATACCAGTAGCAGAGTTAAAGCTGGCTGATGCTGTTGTTATTCGACTCATTCCAATGCCCTGGGACATGTTGTCATTACCACAGGCTGGTATCCTGACCTATCTTCTTATTGGATCCTGTCTTAGAGACATCACTGCGCCCTAGGGAGACTAGAGACACAGAAGTAACTAAAAAGATTCCAATTAAAAACTATGGATAAGGTTGCAGATTAGGGGGATAAAAGTTAATTTTCTTCAGTTCAAGAAGCATTTGTTTCCCAAATAAAATATATAGTCAATTCATTTTACAGTATATCTTGTGAAGCGCTTTGAGATGTCTCGAAAGACGTGATAAGGCAAGGATTATTAAAATGCAAGGATCAAATGCAAGGATTATTAGGGGATTATCGTACTATATGAATCATAGAAATTTGTAGCACAGAATGAGGCTATTCATGACGTGCTGGCTTTCTGACAGAGCTATCAACTTAGTCCCATTCTCGGGCCCTTTCTGTGCACGCTTTTACAACAACAACAAAATTACATTTATAGAGCGCCTTTCACATCAGGAGGACGTCCCAAAGCGCTGAACAGTCAGGTGTCGGGGCCCGAGGTTGGGGGAGGGTTGGGGTAGGGGTGAGGGAAGGCAGAGAGGTGGGAGGGAGACCAAAGGCACGGTCAAAGAGAAGGGTCTTGAGACCGGCCTTGAAGGAGGCGAGGAAGGAAGCGACGCGAAGGGACCGTGGGATGGAGTTCCAGAGTGTGAGAAAGGCTGAAAGCCCATCCACCGATGGTAGGGCGGGTCGGTCGGGAGACATGGAGCAGCCCGGAGCCCGCTGAACGGAGGGAGCAGGCAGGTTGGTAGGGAGTCAGCAGTCAGAGAGGTAGGAGGGGGCAAGGCCATGGTTGGCTTAAAAGTGAGGACGAAGATCTTGAACTCGATCCTCTGGGGGATGGGGAGCCAGTGGAGTCGGGTGAGGGTGGGAGTGATGGGGTCACGGAGACTGGTGCGTGAGAGTACACGAGTTGCAGAGTTTTGGATGATCTGCAGCTTGTGAAGGGAAGAGTTGGGAAGGCCGATGAGGAGGGAGTTCTCGTAATCGAGCCTTGAGGTGACGAATGTGTGGTTGAGGGTTTGGGCAGCCTGAGGGGTGAGGCAGTGGCGGAGTCTGGCAATGTTGCGGAGGTGGTGGTAGGCAGTGCCACCATTTTTCAAATGTTAGGTTGTCCGCCTGACTCAGTTTGTCGTACTCTTGCCTCTGTTGTGGGTGCAATCCCCAGTCAGGCCCCATCGAGTGAAAGGGTTACTTGATTCTTATTATGTTTATCTCATTTAATTGCAATTACAAATTCTGAATTAAAGCTGAATTTGAGAACTTTGTTGAAAATATTACATTTTGCGACAGTGGTCTTTACCACAGTCGCCTTTCCGTATTAAAATACACATGGGAGCTCAGTTGTACAGTTTGCAGTTCAGGACCTTCTCCTTTACTTGAGAATCACAAAGTCAATCATCGGTCAACTTTGTCTTAACCTCAATGACTTGGGCATCTAGACTTCATCACTCAGTCACACATCAGTCATCACTGAGTCACACATCATTTGACTTCGGCATCATTAAGTCATGAATCACTCAAGTTCTATATCAGTCAATGACTTATCACTTGTATATGGTACCACTCACTGAGTCAGGCATCATTTGATTTCAGGATTTCTCATTGTGGTTAGTTTAATATATTGGATTTGTTCAGTTGTACCGAATTAGCAGGAAAATGCAGACCACAGGCAATCTATTGGTGGAATAAAAGTCCTGGAATATACCCTTGAATTTATGATTAAAAAATGTGGAAACTGTTAGCATATTATGAATTAATAAGAGGTAGAAATGAACCACACTCTGGTAGAATCTTTTCAGGCTTTTTGATTTTACTTTAGGGGCAGATACAGTATTTTGTAATATTATAATATATTTCTCTGCGATGATTTTGAAAGGAATCGGGTATCTGTATAAATAGCATTTCACCCACAAAATACAGTGTCAATTCGCTTTACAGTATATTTGGTGAAGTGCTTTGAAGCATCTCAATGACGTGATAAGGCGCTATATCAAATGCAAGGATTTTTATTATTATTATTATTATCTAATAATGTGACTTGTGTTCATTTGCTCTTCAGACCTGTAACACAATCAGGTATTAGGACTCTCTATTTTAGTACTCTCTTTTCCCGCAGTAGGATATTTTACAATCTAGCCTTTTTAAGATAATTCAGGTTTATATATTTTGTGATGCTAATAAATGAGATAGTAGAATTTGGTTCCAGAGTTTTGTCAGAATTTAAAGTGGAAAATTGCTTTGTGAGACACAGATAAATACACGCCATGAAGTGGAATAGTGAAGTGAATACAAGACTGAGATAAACTTAGGTGAAAGGCTACGACCCACAGTGCAGGGCAACAAGTCCCAGGGTATTGCAATGCCCCAAGAATGGAAACAAGAGTGAGATCGATTCAAGAAGCAACAACAACAACAACAGCAAAGTACTCTTGGAAAAGCGTCCTCCCTTCACGTTGGAAAGATGTTTCAGGACTCTAGATAGTCAGGGGGTTTTGCACCCGATCTGGGAGTTGGGGGTCAGGAGGGGTGGAGGGCGAGCAGGGGGGGCGGGGGGGGGGGGAGAGTGGGGTTGGGGTGGGAGTGGGAAGGTGTCCAAAGGCACGGTCGAAGAGGCAGGTCTTTAGACGGGACTTGAAGGAGGCAAGAGAGGGGGTGAGGCGGAGGGGTTGCGGGGATAGAGCTCCAGACTGGAAGAGCTGCCCAGATGTGTGGCAGCATTCAAATCGTGGATGGTTTGGTGGCATCCGACAATGTAGCCCTTTTCGTACAGAGTCAATTCAGGCACCGCACCGTTGCGGTGTGGACCCCGTTCACTGAGCAGCAGGCTCACTCCTTTCCCATGTGCCAGATTGGCTGCTTTCCAAGCCATGTGGTCGCCACTAACATCACTTCCTGAGAATGTGGTCCTCCTCTACCCACAACTCTGACCTAGAGGCGACCCAGGCAGACTGACAGGAAATGAATGTTTGGTTTGGGAGAGGAAATTGAGATGCAGGAGATGCAAAAGTTCCATTTGAAATCAATGGAGATAGTGAGGCAAACAATGTTGAAAAGAAGACAGTTGAGGTGTGACAAGTGTGTACTTACTGTGGTCTTTACAAAACCGTAACAGTACAACACTTCTTATCCTTACTTGGCATCGATGCTTTTTTCTGGCGACGTGCTCAGCATCACACGAAGGGTTAAAGGGATAGAGGTGTCAGTGGTGTTAAAAACAGCTTTGGTATCCTGTCAGTGTCGTGGCAATCAATCGCTTTAAAGTGGCAGAGGCTGTGAAGAAACACATAGTGTGGAAATTCAATTAAAACTGTACAGGAAATTGATATTGGCTCTCTTTTTATTACAGACATTTGCTGGCCTGCATTTCTCCCGCACTGGCAGACTCCACCGTGTTTGACAAACAAGGACTGAGGGGGTGACGCATCTCACAAGCTGCGCGAAAAAAAAAACCCCAGCCCAAATGCATTGGCTTTTCCTTTACTTCTAACTTGACCTTCCAAGCGACGTGAAAAGATTGTTTTGGATCACCGTGCGCTCGCACTTGAAGTCTTCCAGGTTTCAAGTCCTATCATAGAAACCGTTGCCACTCCTAGTTCTGAATTGTTTCCGCTCGGTTTCCACTTCTAGTTCTGGTGAGCTGAAATTTTACCAGTCACTTGCTTGACATTACGCAAAGAGGTATATTTCAACGCGATGTGGATGCTCTCAGCTATAGAGGGCAGTGTTGCTTTTGGAACTCTTGATCATCTTTGGAGATAAAAGGTACCAGAGATTTGTAGGCTTGAAGTTGGAAGTGGATTCTTGGCAAATGCCATTTAGTGTCCAGATGTTTCGACTGCACGACTGAAATTATAGTAAACAAGACATGATGAATTATAGTTGGCTTTGGATATTTTTTTTTTCCGAATGCAAATATTGTTTGATAAGACTTTCAAATAGCATTACTCAACAAAATCAATAATTATTTTGCCGGAAATTAAATAGTCTTTTCACATTTGTGAAAGGAAATCAGTAGCAGCAAACTATCACAGTGTGATACTGCATCACTATTTCTAAAAATAATCCTCGATGGTAAACAGGTAACCCTGTGTATTTAATACACACAGATCCCAACACAATAATAATAATATATTAATAATAAAATATTGGTCACTTCAATCCACGACAGTTTGTGGGATGCTGCTGTGCGCAATTTGCTGCCACGTTTCGCCCACAAAATATAGAGTCAATTCACTTTACAGTATATCCTGTGAGGCACTTTGAGACGTCTCGCAGACGTGATAAGGTGCTATATCAAATGCAAGGATTATTTTATACAACACACTAAGTATTGTACCAGCCTCTAATCAGTAAGAATGATTTGGAAAAACCCTTTTATCAGATGTTTTTGCATCATTTCACTCTCAGTGTAACCTGAGATGAAATGGCTTTGAATTAAACTGAAAAAAGACACTGATGTACCCAGGAATAAGCCTCTATTGCCTCTTTCTTGTTAACCGGCCAATCAGAGATTGTGTGAATATCAGAGAACATACTGTTGTCACGTGTTGGCCAGATGACATAACCATGGTTTATTATGTGGATTAAGAAACCACGTGCTTTTCCTAATGCAAGAAACATCCTTATATCTCTTTCTTAATGAGACAACGCCCTCCTCTCTAGACTTGACTGCAGCAATGAGCACTAAAAGCCCTTTCACACTAATGCACAAAGTACTGTGTTGTGTCAATTTTTTTTAAAAAAAACACGAATTGGAAGTAGCGATGCAGTCACACTCTATGAAGAGAGCTTTAGTTTTAGTTCCAACGTGCACGAAGCCTTCTGTCAAGTGACAAGCGGATCTCACCAGAAATAATATGGCATTTCTAATACCTATAGTTGATTGGTACCTGCACTTTATATATTTGTGTCTAAACGTTTTCTTTGCCGTTGTATTTGATGAAACTCCATAAAAGGTTAGTTTCCAGGAGGCATAATTCAAGCCACACATCAAAGCAATAAATCTTTGCTGGTCCTCCCGTATCGATTTCTGGAGATTTACAATGATTGTTTTGAATAACCAATTATAAATATTGATTATGATTAATTCCTGCAAGTGGACCTTTTACAGTGCCAATGACTGGAGACTGTGATGATTCTAACGAGATTGTCTGGAACGTATTCTTACGGATACAGTATTAAAGGTAAATGATCCCAAAATGAAGATCGGAAGTTTTAGCTTCAAAGTTTTCTTTTACTGTAATTGTATGTTTTTGGAACTAATCACCTCTTCTTGTGTTTCTAGCTTGGATCCCTCTTACTCCCAAGCTAGTGCTAGCACTTCTCTAGCTAACACGAGTGGGGTCGGGGGGGGCTACAGTACTGCTGAGTACTTCTGAAAGGATCCCTGGGTCTCGCTGATGATGTTTTATGTTCCTCTCCCAAGATGGAATGCACCATTATCACAAGGTGCGCCATTGCAAACTCCTATCTGGAAACATGGGACCAAAGCAGAGATAATCGTGTTCAATCTCCAGTCAGGGTTGGACTTTCACGGCCATCCAGGAATTCACAAGACTGGCCTAGATGAAGAAGGCTCTTCAGCCCATCTGATCTCATCTCTCCAAATCACCCACTCTACTGTCCTACTATCCCAGTATCAAACTGTTTTATAAATGAATCCAGTGTCCTGGCCTCAACTACAGTTCCTAACCGCATCTCCAGTTGGTAATTATCCAAGCTGGATATAGAAAACCTTCCTGGGGTCTGTCGTAACAATGCAACTCTAAACCTATGACCTCTTGGTCCACTGTCTGATGCATCCTAGAGCATTGTTCTGGGGTTCCTTTTCAATCCCATTTAAAATGTCGTACAACTCTATAAGGTCCCCTCAGCGTCATTATCCATGTCTTCAATGTGCAGCGAGATGGGAATACTGGAGATGTATTCAGTTTGTTTGTAACTTAGATTATTAGTGTATAAGTGGAGAACATAATAATAATAATCCTTGCATTTGATACAGCTCCTTATCATGTCTTTGAGATGTCTCTATACGCTCCATAGAATATACTGTAAAGTGAATTGACTATATTTTGTGGACGAAATGCAGCAGCCAATTGCACACAGCAGTGACCCACAAACATTTGTAGATTAAGCGACCAACTTATTATTTTTCTTGAAGGGATTATTATCCCCGGAAAAGCGAACCGCCAATCAAAAGGAACAATCCTTCAGTGAGACTAGAGATTTGAAGAATTTATTTTAACCATAGAGTAAATGACTGATGCGGAACAGATGTACAGCAAAGACAATAAATGCTGTATTTATCAACTCCTTTAAAGAAATGGATAACAGGATTGAAGGTTTAAGGATAAGTATAGATACAGATGATCACAACTGTGTGGAATGCAACAGGATGCGCCAAAGATTAACAATGAGAATGTCCTGCCAAAGATTAATGATATGGCTTGTTAGGTTAGATAGCTACTCTGTAGTCTGGTCGCTGGGTGGGATGTCTTCAATTGGCCATGTTGATTCCTCATCTGGAAAGTTGCCTTTTACCAGTTTTGATTGATAGTGACAGCTTAGATTCATCACGATCAGCGATGTCCCCTTCTGAATGGAGCTTAGCCATGTTCTTCCTGAACTCATAAGCAGAACTGTGTTGACATATCTTTACGTATAAGCAGGCAGGAAGCCATTGGGACAGGGAACAGGAAAGTGCCTCAGAAAGCATTCCATTATATTTAACTGCTGAATAAATTATTCAATAAAAGAGGCATTTTCACAGGACTTTGACAACTTGCAAACTAAACAGACTAGAGGGAGTGCTTCAGTGTCCTTTTGAACAGGAATAATATTCCTTTTGAACATAGCACCGCTGATAATTAACGGTGATTCCATCCGTGCAAAATCCTCTTAATGCTCCCATCATAGGATGTTCATTGTTTCACATTTATTATCTTGCTTTTTCAGATTTATTGTTGCATTCATGGATATCTCAAATGATACAGAGCTCAAGGGTCTTTAAAGGTTTCCTGCTTTAGGAGTGTGAAACACATCACTGCAGGCATGTCTTCATTGGCTAAATTTCCATTCTCAAAAGCAACATTCATGCAATCCCATTGGTTTTTCATGAGAAATGTGCTGAACTGACTTTTCTCCCTCTTTTAACCATGATGAAATTGATATTTTGGAGGAGAACTTTAGAGAGCCTGAGGCGATGAAGGTGGCACCATGGAATAGTGGAACACATGAATTTTGTGCAGGAGCTGCAAATTCATCTCCAGTACCTGAATATCCAGATTCAACTTGCAACTCAACCAGGTTAGGTTAACCATATCCAAACACATATTGTACAAAACTTAACACCTCATCTATATAATTAAAACCAATAAAAAGGATTCCTGAATCCCCCTTAGTCCTCTTCACTGGTTCAGTGTATTATTAAGGGCATCTGCACTTCTCTCTTGTACACATGTTTGCACATGGTTAGCACAATCTGCACATATTGCACATTGGTTCTTAACCCAACCTGCAAGTTGGACCCTGTTATAATGGTTACACATAAAAAAAAAGACACAGCAGAGCCAGTGTGTCATGGATATTTGGCTTGGTTTAGTTTTCATGCTTTGTAATTGTGAACATGATTGATGATTATACTGTACGTGGTCTCAGGCAATTCTGTCACAGCAACAATGTCCATTTCCATTCCTGGTAAATACATGTCTTCTCTTGTCCCTGGGAACAGCTTTTTCATTATTATGTTGAGGTTCCCTTCCTGTGTTTGCTTGTATGTAAACACTGCCTTTATTAATGTTCCATAGCGATCTTGCCCGGAGGTTGTGTATGACTAATTGCTGGTTTCTGATTTCTTTCCTATTGAAGTGGCAGCACCAGACAGATCTGGCTCTCTTTCAATTACTATTTAGAATTACAGACACCTTCGTTCTATTGTGCTTCTGTTTTTTGCATCAAGCAAGGCTATACCTTTATTGGGCTTTCAGGGTGGAAGGAGTCATTCCGTTTGCTTGGTGTGCAAACGGAGACCCGGTTGAGTTTACGCAGTTAACACATGTTCCCCTGCTTCCGACGGAGGATTTGTCTCTTGTGTTGACAGTACACAGCAGGAAATGGAAGGTGTGAGAGATGTGGAAAAGATGGTTTGGCAACAACCTGCATAGCTGAGGAAAGTGGCCACAGAGAGAACAGGGAACTAGCCCAACTATATTATTTCCAAGCCTTCTTTGCAGAAAGCCAGGCACTGAAACGAAAATAAAAGATCTTCATTCTTTATTTGCAGATTCCATTGAGACATTGTTTACTAAATGGCTGAAAAATGTTGTGGATGTTCGAGAAATAATTCTGTCACAGAAGGAACATTTGTCATGCTCAAACCAATCCTATTCTTGGCGTACAGTGAAGGACACTTTTGGGCAAGTCCTATCAAAACCAGAAGCGGTCTCCACACGTACTGAAAGATCTTTATGTATCCAGTACAAACTGATTATTGTTAAGAGTTTGGGTCTCTGTGCGTATGCCAATTTTCTGTAAGCAACTGCAGGCTCAGGAGGAATATTTGTAAAAGCTCAGCTTCCCCATTCTTTGTAATGGAGCAGTATGTGGAGGATACGTCACATTGTAATTCCCGCTCCTCTTCTATGCACTTTCCAAAGATTTGACAGAGGCGCAAATGCTTGTTTTGAAATTATTCCGGCCCTTAGAGTTGTAAATTTAGCACGCAGCAAGATGGTGATGAACCTGTCACAGATGCTCGGAAATCCGGTGAACAAAAATGATTTTCTATTGCACCCATGTACAGCCAGACTCAATCACAACACGCCCCAGTATAGCGTGGGCCCACGCTTATTGTGGTTACCCTATCGATCAGCGGTATTCTGGAAGTCCAGTACCCTTCCAGCTTTCAGTGCTAATTGGCTGACTTTGCAGGCTTAGAGGTGGCCCATCATTGAGTGCTATTGAATGGTACCCAAACCCCCACTGGAAACATTTGTGAGATGGGCTGTCAGCTTCCTGCACAAAAACAATGACAGCAGCGGTGACCTGACAACTTGGAAGCACTGACCAGCAGCTGTTTGTTTTTTATTGCGGCTCAATAG